AATGAGTACCCTCCGCGTATCCAGATGACGTTGCTTGCCTGCTTTGTTGGGTTGTCGGTGAGGCCGATGCCGGACCCGAGCACGTCGACGTAGAGTGCACATGCGGCGCACTCGTGTTGCGCCAGGGCCGACAGGTCGGCGGGAGACCGTGCCACCCAGACACGTAGCCTTCGTGTCCTTTTCACTGCGCGGAGCCCCAGGGGTCTGGACCCCTTCCCCTTGGACGGGCTTCTCATCCCGGGTCTTTTTTGACGCTTCGGGGGCCCTGCGCGGGCCCCCACAGGCCGAACGCCGCCAAACACACCCTCCGTCGCGTTCCCCTCGCGACGCGAGGTCTGGGATCCTGGGCCCTCGAGAGTATTTCTTTTGCGGTCAGGGCCATAACGCGCGTTCTGCCCCCACCCCCCAGTACCATAACGTAGCGCTTTCCCCCCACCCCCAGTGCGTCCCCGGCACAGCCGCAGTGCGTCCCCGGCATTGCCGCAGTGCGTCTGGCACCACATTTTGGTGCCGGACCCACACGGCATAGGGGGGGGGCCTTACGACGTCATGCCCCTCCCAGTCCGCCCCCCTCTCCCCACCATGATGCCAGACATCGTCGCGAATAAAAACATGCTCTCCTCCTTCTTCATCCGGCTTGCGCGGCTCCTCGCCCCAGCGCGCCCCCCCCCGTTGCGCCCCGCCCGCCCGCCTGCTTGTCGCCTGCGCCGCCGCCGCCGACGCCGGCCGCTTGGCGGCGCCCCGCGGGCGCTGATCGTCGTCGTCGTCGTCGTCGTCGTCGTCGTCGTCGTCGCCGTCGTCGCCGCCGCCGCCGCCGCCGCCGCCGCCGCCGCCCCCGCCCGCCCGCCCGCCCGCCCGCCCGCCCTCGCGGCCGCCGAGGCGGCGCCTTCCAGGAGCCTGCGGAGCAGGAGCGCCACTCCATCAGGGGAGTGGGTGCGGCAGCCGCCACCGGCGTCGTTCGGGGGCGCTCGCCGTTGCGATCGAGATGTGGTACCATGGGCGACAAACACATGCGTATCCGCGGCCTCGCGGTCCGGGCCCCTGGGCCGCGACCCTGCGGATGCGGATACGGATGCAGATGCCCGGCGCGGAACATATCCGTGCGACCGCGTATCCGCGGGATCGCGCCCTTGATTCCAGATCGCGAGGTCGCTGGTACGCAAATGTTCGCCGCCCATGAATTTAGCGGACGAGCGACGGTACTATAGCCCCCTCTGTTGCGGATAAGAGTGAGTGGGCGTGGGGTTGTCAACAGGTTGCGAGGGTCGAAGGCAAGTTTATCCCGCCGCAGGCGCCGATTTTTCGTCAAAGCCATGTTGGTGGATCGCGGCTGGGTCGTCGCGGGTGGGTCGCAGGCGGATCGCGGTCGAGGTCGACAACAAAGACAACAACAACAACAACAACAACAACAGTTAGACTATCATTCGACAGTTCCGCACGCAACATGCATCCATCACGATAGCTCCCCCTTGATGAGCAAATCATTTCATGCATCGGGCTCCCGATGCTTCCTTTCCAGATCTCCCGATCGGACATGTTTTACAAACACCTTTCGGAGGAATTCTATCCTCTGCAGCTCAGGCGGCATATGGCGGTCGAGCATCGTTGATCGAGGATCGATATTCGAATCTCAAAGATCGGGGTCTTGGCAACCGCGTTGACGACGACGACGACACCGACGACGACGAGGACGAGGACGACGACGACAACACCGACGTTGACGATGTCGACGACGCCGACGCCGACGACGACGACGACGACGATGTTGGATGTTGACGACGACGACGTCGACGACGACGACGACAGCGACGACGACGACGAAAACGACGACGACGACGACGACTACTGGTATTGTCCGCACGCCGCCCGAAGCTTTCCTGGAAATCCCAGAGCCCCTCCCGCCTGGACTTTTGGGAGGGACCCCCCCGTACTTTTCCCGAGGCGTCCCTCGATCGTCGGACGACGACGACGACGACGGCGGCGGCGGTGGTGGGGTCGGGCGGGCAGGCGGGCGGGTGGGCGAGCAGGCGTGGCCGAGCAGCCGGGGTCGAGGCGAGAATGCCAGGGAGCCTCTCGCGGCAGGGCCGCTCCCCAGGATTTTGTGGGGAGGTGGCCCCAGGGCCACTGCTGAGAGCCTAGGCGCGGACGTAGCCTCGTAGATGGGAGCCTCCGTGGAGCTGGGGGCCGGGGCGAACGCCGTGGTCCTGGGTGGAAAGCGAGGGAGTCTTGACCGTGGCGTTGTTGCTGTTGGGGGGCCCGTTTCGGTTGGGTTTCGGTGGCACCCGAAAGTCGCGAGCGTGAGCCTCGTTTTCAAAAGAAAGGCATCTGGCGCCGCCGAGGCGAGATCGCTTGGACGCATTGAGGGGGTTAAATCTGATTCGACACACTAACAAGGCGCGCACCGCATATCCCCATTTCAGCCACGCACCAGGTGTAAGACCCTTCGGCCCCTCCTCACTCTGATAAGCTAAACCTTTCCACCATTGGGCACGCCTGTCCCAAGGCGGCTGGAAGGTTTATACACCCCGACGTGCGGATTGGAGGGATACAAATGTTCCAGCCCGCATTGGGACAGGCATCCCCGATTTCGAAACAACGGTCAATTATACCTCTCGCCGTCCGCGAAGGGATGGGGACGGACGTACTTGGGAAGACGAGCAACAACCTTTCTCGTCCATTCTGAGCAGGGCTCGCTGTCGGTATCAACACGGACGTTGTCGATCTGGGTCAGACGTCCTCTGCTCGTCGGTGAGCGCTGTCGGTTTGGGACAACGCAGGCTCTTGGGCATCGTCTCTACTTTTTCCGTGCTATGCTGCTGGCGTGCCAAGCTCGTGACCGTTCGGGATCGAGGACAGCCTGGAGAGGAACCGAGGAAAGAATTTCGAGGATCAAACTTCGAGGGTGGTGGAGGTATTTGGGCGCGGGTTCGCCCTCTTTAGGCCTCTGGGCGTCTCCTCGTCGCCACGGCCGCATTCGCGTCGACACGTTAACCAGAATTCATTCTAGAACAGGTCGGGTGATCGAATTTTGAAGCCCTAAGCACTGACAAAGTAAATGCGGAGGTTATTTCTCAGAATCGACGACTCGAGATGACAAGCCAGCCCTGGAGAAAGGATCGGGACTTCCGCTGACCTCGCATGGCTCTAGATGTGGTTTGCCATGTCAGTCTCCAAGTGTTCCCTGCGGGTCTCCAGATCGGTCGTTGGGGTTGTTGAGAGAACAGTATCCCCAACAGGGAGATCGGTTTCGGTTTCAGTCCGTGTTGCGCGTGCGGGCGAGGCGACGTTGCGCCAATGCGATGTGTTGGCCGTGGCCAGAGTCAAGTCACACAATCTTATGATCATCCCGTCTAGCTGGGCGGTTGCGTTGTTGTTGTCCCGCGGCTATCCCGTGCTTGTTTCGTTGTTGGCTCGTGGGTTGTCCCGTGGTTGTCACGTGGGTTGCTTCGTGAGTTGACCCGTTATTGTCCCGTGGATCGTTCCGTTGATTGTCCTGTGGTTGTCCCATGGATGTCCCATGGGTTGTCTCGTGGTCGTCCCGCGGGATGGCCCGTGATTGTCCCGTGGTCGTACCGTGGGTGGTTCCGTGTGTTGTTCCGCGGTCCCTTCGCTGTTGTTCTGTGGGTCGTCTCGTGGGTTGTCTCATTGTTGTCTTGTGCGGGAATGCACATCGAGATGAACATCCAATTGCGGATTGCGACATTGATTAATAACCATCTGCCCGTGGTAAGCACAGTCACCGTGCCACCGCCGCAGTGCAGTGTGAATGAGGTTGAGTTTGCTACCCATGCTTGTTCAACGTGGATCTTGGACTCGCCCTATTCAATTCGATAGTGTCTTGATCCCAAGTTTGAAAACTGTAGACTGTACTTAACACAAGTCTGCGCGTCGCCAATGCGAGAGCTCCATTTCGAAAATCATCCGCCCCCTACCCATATAACTGGTAGTTTTTGAGCCGAGTATGTGCGGCGCAGGGCGAGACGCCCATTTTGAAAGCAACTTCTGTTCCATGCGCGTACCTGTCAAACTGTTCAAGCTCCAAGATCATGCATTGAGCGGGAATCGCAGGCGATAGGTCCGACCCGCGCTGCTGACACGTCTGGTGGTGCGGCAGGAGATCTTTCTTTATAAGGAAGGGGGTCGAGGAGGAAACGGAGAAGGAGGAGGAGGAGGAGGAAAACAAGGAGGAGGAGGAGGAGCAGGAGGAGGACGAGCCGGGCGAGGGGAAAGAGGAGAGCGGATGAGGAGGAGGAGGAGGATTCGTTGAGGATTCGCTCGCAACGAATAGTCGAATCGGCCGAAGGCGAGGCGACTACGCTCGAAAACGGAGGTGCCCTTCATCCCAGGCCTGTCCTGGGCAATCTGAGGCCTCCGAAACTCTGATTGGTGGTGGGGTGCTTGCCCTGCCACAGACGATTCAGACGCCCAGCTAAGACCCGAATATTCCCCCCAGGACAGCTGGTCATCAGACCCCTCCATCGGCTTGTGGCGTACCTTGCGCACTTCCGACAGAATACTACTGCCTGCAGGCGCACCGTCTTGTGGCCTTCGGCTTGGGCCCTCTGGATCAACTCTCCGAGCCCCACGGGGGGCCAGGGCGGGAGGTCCACGGGGCCCTGTGGGGGCGGTGGAGTGCCCGCAGGGCTCTCCACTCCCTCACTGGGCGTCGTGGCGGGGGCGGGGCTGCCCTGGGCCCCCGAAGGCCCAGGGCCCTCGGAGGTGTCCTCGAGCCCGTGGCCGAGAACCCCGACGTGCGCGGCGAATTCCAGGATGTCTGAGACCAACTGGAACCTCTGAATGTACGCGGCCCTGTGCCAGGCCTCGTGCTGGTGCATCTGCGCCCCACGCTTTGCGTTGGCGTCTGCAAATCTGTTCCCTATGAAATGCTGGGGCCCTATCGAGGCTATTTGGGCCCTCGTGGCGTGGGTACGGACTTTACAGAGGCTTATCCCCTGCTCACCTATCCCACCGTTTTCCTGCACAAGCCGCCAGCATTCCTGCTAGACCTCTTGGTGGGTCGTGTCGGCTCTGGCGGCCCACTCAGGGCCTCTGGCGAAGCCGTCGATCACTGACTGGCAGTCGCTGAAGACCCGCACTGGAGGGACCGCTCTCCTCAGGGCCTGGAGGACCGCCATCAGCTCGCTCTTGTAGATCGACTGGTCGTGCTGCGATCCCTCCAGTGGCCCGAACAATGCAAACTCCATCGTGTTCTCGCTGTCGAGCTTCACGACTGCCCAGCCGCCTCTTCTCAGCGCTGGGTATGCCCCGTACAGCAGGCTGCCATCCGTGTAGATGTCCCCGTGCACTGGCCGTCGAAGGAGCCCTCCATCTCGCATGTGGACGAGGAGGGCAATTTCCAGAGGCCGTACTCCAGCGCTGGATCCGCTGCGAGCCCTCTTCCCCAGAGCGCTTCGGAGGTCGCCAGCTGCTTCTCCGTCGCTCCAGGCCATGTCATGGCACCGCGATGGCATATGTGGTGCCCTCCCACTCTTTGTCGGTGACTCTGCCTGGCCGAGCACACGAACGTCCTGTGGCGGTCCGTTCCTTCATGCTCGTGGTAGGCCTTGCACGTACTGTCCTCTGCTGCGCCCTTGTCGAAGAGCCTCCGCTGTGGCCAGGTACCGCCACACCACAAGCTGCGCACCCGTGTCTGGTGCTCCAGCGTCCACTTCTTGCTCAGCGGCCTCCTGAGCAGCGCGGCGACGGGCTCCACGAAGAGGCTGTCCAGGCCGTGCTTCTCGCCGTGGATGCGCAGCCAGTCGCTCTTGAGGCCATCCTCGGTGGCCGTGCTGATGAGTTGCCTCAGGTGCCTGAGAGGCAGCGTCCTGAGGTCTAGGTGCTCGTCGCCGATGGTGATGCTGTGGGCCGCGAGCGACCTCCAGCCCAGCCTCTGCACCGTGGCTATGAAGCCCCCCGCGGCCCCCCGCACCTACTGCCATGGGGCTCTGGGTGTTCCCACACGTACTACCCACTTCTTCCACGCACTCTGGAGCTGCTCCTGGAGGCCGTCCTGGTTGGCTACCTCGTGCCATGCCATGGCCCAGTTTAGCAGCGGCTCCGTGTTGGCGCGGGTGGCGGGGTCGGCGCCCTACGCGAGCAGCGTGAGCGGCGTCGACCTCCCCATGGTGTTGCCCCTGAAGGAGGTCGCCACGCTGTGCCGCAGGGTGGTGAGGGTGGAGTTGGGCATGCCCATGACCTGCACCCCGTACATCGCCGACGGCACCTTCCCCTGTCTGATGATTGCCTGCGCAGGTCCCCCTGCTCGGCGTATGCGGGCGATGCGGTTGGTGGCGCCGAGGTGGTCGGCGTGTCGCGCCATCTTGATGCCGAGCGGGTTCACTCTCCTGGCGAGGCCGTCCTGCAGCGCGGTGGTCGGGGCCATGGTGACCGTCTTGCCCCCCGCACCTTTGGATACCTTCATGTCCAGCCTCCCGAACATGTCCACGAGCTCCTGCACCAGCTGGGTGTGCCAGTGCTGCACGAACAGCCTCGCGCCCCGCGTGGCGACCGCCAGGTCGTCGAAAAAGAGGCAGACCGAGGCCCACGGGAAGTTGGCGATAACCCCGTCCAGCTCCCCGAAGATGACCATCTTGAGGCAGAGGGGTGCTAGGCGGCTGCCTGCGACGATGCCGCGCGCCCATCTCGACCCCTCCGTGTATGCGTTGTCCAGTACGACGCGCCGCGTCATCGAGTAGATGCGCAGCACCATCTCCAGGATCACCGTGTTGAATCCTGATCTCGTGCCTGCTTGCCACACCTTCTCGTGCGTGACGTACTCGAAGCACTTGACCAGGTCGAAGTACGTGACAGCGTACTCCATCCCTTGGGCCACCGTGGCCTCGCAGAACAAGGCCTGCTCCCAGGCGGCCCTCTCACTGGACTTCCCTCTCGCAGCCCAGTCGTAGCTCCTGCGGTGGCAGTGCTCCCATCTCCTGGCGTACGGCATGCGGATCGTCTCCCACAGCCTGGCCAGCTCAGGAATCAGCCCGAGGTTGCGGTACCCGCCCGAAGCTTTTGCCAGCAGGTAGAACAGGATGGTGTCCTGCGCCTGCGGCCAGGGCGAGCCCGCCTCCAGGGCGTTGAGGGTGCTGGCCACCCTCGCCGCTCCATGGGTGTCCCCTTCGCGCCAGAGTCTCGGGTGCCATCCCGATTCCCCCAGCCCCGTCTTGGTCCTGAAGCGGCCGCAAGCCTCGATCACCTGCTGCGGGGTGATGGGCGGCGGCTTGGACTCTGCCCGCTCGATCTCCGTGGGTGGCTGGAGCTACGGCGCCCTCGGCACGAGCGGGTCGTGCCAGGTGCTCTCCCGCCCCTTCAGCGCGGCGTCGGCGGCCTTCTGGGGGTGCGTGAGCTCGTGCACCTGGTCGCTGTCGGCCCCCGCTGGCGCTGCCTGCGGCTGCCAAGGCGCTGGTGCCTTGGTCCACTTGTGCAGTGCTCCTGCTCCTCGCTCTCCGTGCGTGGTGACCCGCTGCCGCCACTGCGCCGCGGCCGCTCGGTGCACCATCTTCCAGTACTTCCTGCTGGCGATGTCCAGCAGCGTGGCTATGAAGCCCAGGTAGTTCTGGGCGCGGTCGTCGATGTCGGTGACTCGCCAGTCTCGCAGCGTACGTGCGATGAGCGGCCATCGAATCGTATTCCACGTATTGGGGTCCTGCTGGCCCTCGGTGGGAGGCGCTCTGACCGCGAGGCTGTCCTGTACCCGTTCCGCCTCCTCCCGAGGGGCGCCCTCTGGCTCCAGCAGCCCGTCCTCCTCGTCCGTGTCGTTGCCTGCCTCGGTCGTCTGCCCAGGTGCCCGCTCTGCGAGCAGCGGCGTGACGATGTCGTGGCTGAGTAGCCCATCAGCAATGTGCTGAGCTCGCCGAAACGTGCCTGCATCTCGCCGCTGCTGCCACGCGTTGGCCAGTGACCTCAGCTGGCGCAGCCGCCGCGCAAGCCACCCGGCGGCCTCGGCCCACTGCTGCTGCTCATGTGCCGCGGTGCAGGGCATGGGCCTGCGCGGCTTCTGCTTGTAGTTGGCCTTCTCGAAGCGGCCCTGTCTCTTGCCCAGGTCGTCTCCATCGAAGCTGCGGTACCTGTTGAGGTGCTTCTCGTAGGCCTCGCCGAGCTCACTCCAGTGACTTTAAACGGAGAAGGTTAAAGGCGAGGTATAAATCGAGCATGTACCGCTGCCGTGCCTGGCTCAAGCCGGGCCCGGCCAGATATATGACTGTGCCTCACTGAGGCGCACGACTTGCATCAGAGATCGGAAAATACCTTTTCCATTGACGATGCCCATCCTATCCTTTACTCCAGATCCCATGCTTCGTCTTGCACTCTTGCTCATGCGATATGAGCCAAAGCCTGGGATATGGCAACGCTTAAAGCGTAACACATACCTAAGCTTACCAGCTTGTTTTCGACTTGGTAGCGGAGCTGGCTACACTCTCGTGTGGCTGGCTCTCGCTCTGATTCCTGTAATCCACGGCACAACTTGGTGGACTACTACTACGGTGGAATACCATGTTGCGCCGGCTCTGCGAGGAGCGGAGCCAGTCCGCGATCGAGCTAGCGGGGCAACCCGCGAACTCGAGACGCTCTCTCCTACTTCACTGCGCTACTTCACTCCCGACTTCCACCAGATGCCAATCGGCAACTCGATCGAGAACGTGGTCACCCTGCGGGGCTACCCGCAGCGGGGCCACCTGCATCCCGTGCCAGTCAGGCGCCTCACGGCTACTACGCCAGAGCCTGACAAACCACAGCCTAAACCAATCACCGAAGCCGAAATGCACATGCATTGGATCAAGATAACTATATTCGGCATTCTGTGGGTAATAATGGGATGTGCTGTGGGATACATGCGGCAGGGGATGGACGACACGCGTACTACTGGCCCTTCATGGGACCCTGCCGGTACTACGCCTTTTCGCGAATACGTTCGCGAAGTACATGCATGGTTAAACGTAACGAGTGGCAATATGACACCACCACAACAAGCTGCAGCACTACAACGAGGCCTTCAAGGTCTGGCTCGTCGTATCGCCATGCAGGTCCCCTCCCAGATCATCAATTATGGTGTAACTGTCAATGGACAGCCAACGGATGCAGTAACATATATACTGTACTTACTGAGCACCAAATTTGAAAATCTGGAAGATGAGCGCCAGCTCAACTCTGGCACTGCCCTTATCGACTTCCGCGTCGAAAGGGGCGAGCGAATCGACTCAGTATTAGCTCGATTCGAGATGGCCCGTGACGAGGCTAACTCTGTTGGCTTTGTCATCCCCAACTTTCAGATCCTAACGCTGATTCTCTTCAGAGCGTTAGGCGTTGGCGCGTCACGAGCCCAACACCTGCTTGAGCCCTTCAATCATCAGATGCCCCGAACACAAGCAGACTATGACAGGCTGCTGACCAGGATGAGGAACTACGGACATGTTGCCGAGCGCTCTCCTGGCAACATAGCGGGTATCTTCACAGGGCACCACTCACATGCAGGTGTCTACGCCACGACTGCGGGGTCACCCGCTGGTCCTGGCGAGCCAAATCCCTGGGCTGACCCAGCCGATATGCCCAACGAGGCCACTGCCCTTTTAGGGCAGACTGGCCAGGCATCGGCAGAGGCAGCTGAGGCGAACGCCTGGTCGAACTACTCGCCAGGCGCCGCCTACACTGCAAGCCCGCCCTCGGGCACAACCCTCTGGGGCCAAGCGGAGTCATCCGCTCAAGGGTCTCAGCCACCCTCACCGTTTGAATCTGGCACTGACACGGATACCTCATCTGACGATGAGCACAATGGCATAGTCTCTGCTGGTAATGACTACCCAGCGGATGACACTCACCTCTCTGAACAACAAAGAGCGGAAGCCGCCTTTATGGCTTATCGCAAATCAAAACGCCGTTGGAGGCGCTTTATGAAGAAACCAGTCAGAAAGGTGAGACGTGCAGTACGCCGACATTTCAAACGATTTGGAAAGGGTCGTGGCAAAGGGGGTCGCAGACGCCGTATGCATGGTAGGGGTATTACTGCTTTCCTCACGTCCTTAACTGATATGGCTTTTGAAGAAGTTCTTATCGGAGGCAAAGGTCGGGGTCACAGGCGGACCTCCGGTAAGGGAAAAGGGCGGAGGGGCAACCCTAGGGACGCTTCTGGCAATACTATGAAGTGTCATACATGCGGTAGCACAGAGCATTTGCGCGATCAATGCCCGAAGGGGAAAGGAAAGGGATCCGTACATTTGGCTCAAAATTCTTTTATGGATGACATAGATTACATTGACTACGAGTTTTACGTCAATCCAGAAGCGGCTCCCGCCGCGGGCTCCTCCACGTATTACGTGATGGCCCGCTACGCTGAAGCAACTGTAGCCCTGGAAGACTACGCAGTGACCCTCTTCGACGAGTTCCACGGCTGGGACGAGGTCGACGAGGTCGCGTACAATGCTTGGTTCGGTCTTCCAGCGGGGCCACCCGCCGGCGACGAGGTCTCCGAAGCCGAGACCGTCCCGGCAACAGAGGAAGAACTCACCGCCGTGCTGGCCCCGCAAGTGATTGGCATGCCGTTGCTGCCAAATCCCTCGTGGGCTGGTTCGGAGGCGGGAGACGCCGATGACGAAATGCGGGGCCATCCCGCGTATTCCGACTCCGAAGAAGCCGAAGAAGATTATAAGGACATGCTCCAAGAGCAGGTCTCAGAAGCAATCCGACTCCTGAGTGCGCCAGCACATCAGCAGATAACCATGAACGAACTGCTGTCACACCCAGGAGCTGCACGTCTACGTCCATACTTGGATTCGGACATGTCAGCATCTCAGATGCTGACAGCACTCCAAGCTCTAGCGGGGTCACCCGCCGAAGAGACGCCAGACGCAACAGCGGGGCCACCCGCTTGGTCTATGGATGTATTCATGCAAGGTTGTGATCAAATGGACATTAACGACCTCGCGATGGAGCAGTTAAACGACATCGGGTACTTCAGAAGCCCGTATCAAAACGTGTTCATGGTCCAGGACAGCTCAGAGGACTCGGAGGACATGCGCTACGCCAAGAGGGACAGACGACCGTCGCCTCCCCGAGACTCAGAGCATGACGATCAAAGGCCAATGGCACGCGGTAGTGCGTCAGCGGGGCCAGCCCGCAGAAGGAGCCGTTCAGCTCCCAGACGCCCTACACATGATGAATCGGGCTATCCATACAGTACTGAGCACTCCGTCGGAGTATCCGCTCAGCATGTGCCGGATTGGTACATCAAATGGTACCCCGGCTACTCGATGGACACGCTTCGCCACTGGTATTCTAAGGAGTACTGCACTAAAAGGGACGAAACTGGCGCGATAATACGTACCAAGGGTGGCAAGACCAAGACGCCAGAGGCTTGGGACAAAAGGGCTAAGAAACAGGAGATCATCAACGATCGCAAGACATACAGGAAACAAGTATGTCAGTGCGAGCCCTTCAAAGGTCACATGCGCAGGTGTCCGATGGACCGCCCCTCCAGGAGCCCTCATCACGGTGAGACCCCGTGGAATTGGTCTCATGGAGATGACGCTGGCAACGTCCATGATCCTAATAAGGAGGTCCCTGGAGGAGGAAAGCGCATCACCGAAGCCGATCGTGTCCCTATGACCGAAGAGGTGGCCAACATCGTCAGGGAAAATTGGGTACAGCTTCCCAATGACCATCGCCTCAAGGAATGGAACCGCCGATTCCATAAAGAGGCGGGGTCACCCGCAGAATCCAGCAAAGAAGCGGGGTCACCCGCAGACGCAGCGCCAGCCGCTGGATCCGCGGAAGACGATTGGATAGCTGTTGCATCTGCTGCTGAGTCCGCCGCCGGCACTGACCACACCGAACTGAATGAAGAATGGGCGGCGGAAGACGGCTCAGAGAATCCATTCCCTGATGGAAGCGCCTGCTGGTACTACAGCTCTTCGGCGCAGAAGTGGTTTTGCACGAGGGTAATCTACCGCCATGAGAATGGCAAGTACAAGCTGGCCATAAAAGGTACTGCCGACATCGACCAGATGAGGCAGGTCATCCATGATCATGGCCAGCCAGAAGGCCCTCCTAGAGACCCTCCTGGTCCACAACCGGGCAAGGGCAGCAGACCACCTCCAAGACCTAAAGCCGACTCCTCGTCTTCACCGACTCCTGCGAAAAGGCACCCGTCCAAGAGCCCCGAAGGACACAGGGGCGGGCGAAGGCCAGAGGGATCGCCAAGACGGACGACCCTGAGCCGGTAGATCCTCCCGGTCTGTCCGTGACGGAGAGGAGGAAGGCTTTTGCTGGACCATCGACCCCGATGCCACCGGCGACCCAAGGCGATGTCAAGGACGAAGTTCGCGACAAGCCTAAGGCAGCTTTCCGAGGTGACTGGACTCCAACTCTGCATCAGCCGCGCCTTGCACCACGACCAGGTTCGGCACGAATGAAAGCGCAGCCGAAGCCCGAAGCTGGGATGAGGTCGGTGCGGGCGGAAGCGGCCGCCAAGGCTAAGGAGGACAAGGGCTCTGCGGGGCCACCCGCTAAAGCGGCGCCAGCCGCAACAGCGGGGACACCCGCAGAAGGCACTCTCTCAAGAGAAGAACGCTTCAGAGTCCTCAAAGAGTTTGGCGACCAACAGAAACTAACCGATGATGCAGCTGCTGACGAAGGTCACCCGAACCCTGACGCGGAGTCATCCGCAGGAGCTGCCTCGTCGGCCGCAGGTTCTGCAGGGCCACCCATTAAAGCGGCGCCAGCTGCATTAGCGGGGCCACCCGTTAAAGCGCCGCCGGCTGCATTAGCGGGGCCACCCGCACAAGGGCAGCCAATAATGTCTGTTCTAAGGAACATCCCTTTGGGAGCCATCGAATACTGGCAAGGCATTGAAGGCAAAGGCCCGAAGCGCACCATAAACCCACGAGTCACTCCAGACGACACGGACCGATACGAGGTCATTAATTGTCCTGTTCGTCGTAACTTCGAGTGCCGCAACGACTGGGAACGTGAACAACAAACCGTGGGAAATATGTTGCGAGACAGGCCGCCACTACGCGTTGCGCAGCATAAAGCAGAGCTCCTGAAGGTCATGGAGAGGTTCGGCATGGATCCGACTTTGCCGCGTGAAGGGCAGAT